GCTGCCGCGGGGGAAGGCAGGCATTGGGGTGCGTGTCGCGGCCTGAACCCCCTTTACAACCGTCCGGCGTCTGCCCCAAAATGCGAGTGGGGAAAAGGGCATGCGGGTCTCAAGGTTCACAAACTGGAAGAAGCTTTTGCTTTGGACGACTTTCTGGGTTTGAAATGAGTGGTTGCTTCTTCCCTCTTCCAGTGAGAGGATCCGAGGGGCTTTACATGGTGAATGGGCCGCCTAGTTTCACCGAGAGCACAGCGTTTCAAAGGTACTGATGTTACCGCTGTTCTTGATCTTCTGCACAAAAGAAATAGCTTTCTGGAAAGCAAAGGTAGATTCTAGAATTGAAAAATGTATATATGTGAGTGAATTTTTCCTTGCTGTCAGCAGTTCAGAGAATCGATGGTTTCGAAGGCTTGGCGCTTGCCCGCCCTCCCGTCGCCCGGGCGGTGATGCTGAGCGGTGGCCGGGTGCACAGCGCTGCTGGAGTGCAGCGGGGAGACGGGCGGGTTGCTGTCTGTTGAGGGTGCCGCCGCGGGGTGTTGGGGTACTAATGGGCGTTTCTTACCTCTTTAGGGACTCTGGAAAAAATTGCAAAGCTGTTGCTTTTAGCAAGGACGGTTCCCTCTTTGCCTGGTGCAACGGAGAAAAGTTGGTGCATTTTTTTTATTATTATTATATTAATCGTCATAATAATTTATGATAATAATCCAGTTGGTGTGAAATAAACTGGATCAGTTTTGCCCCGTTTACTCTTGTCTGTGTAAAGGCTATTGCTATAAATGTGTTTGTTTCCATACACGCTTTAGATGCAGTTTATTTTTGCATTATTCGCTGTAGTGGCTTTGTTTCCTGAATATCAGATGAAATATTTACTGTTTCTCTCATATTTATAGCGCACCCATTCCTGAGGAATTTGGGGTTTTTTGCTCATAGTTCCCTCTACGATAGTACCTGGTTTTCTGGGGTTAACCTCTTAGTAGAGCTCATGGAAAATGAAGAGTCTGCACACCTTGTGTACAAACATCACAAGGTTCCTTTTTTATAGACCAGGCGCGTTGTAGAGTTCACTGGAGGCCGTCCTTTATGTAGGAGTGCGTCCGGGGGCTGCTGCTGTAAAGAGGTGATAAGGCTGCTTCTGGAATGTCAGTACTCTGGCTAACGGGTTAAAAAAATCTGCAAAGGGGCTCAGTAATGCCGTTGAAGCATTTCTTTTTAGGTAGGTAACTTAGACGTAGGATTCGTTACTTTCACTGTTGTTTCTGGTTCTCCAAAATATTCAGACTCCTCATTTTTCCTTAAAAACTTTTATTTTTGTCAGTTGGTAAGGTCCATTTCCAGAAAATGTTTGTGGGGAAAATGTTTTCAAACGACCAGCTTGTCTGTCCAGGTACCCAGACTTTAAATGAGAGCATTCCAGATGGCAAGTCTTTCCAGGCCTCTCTGTTTTGGGGGCTGTCCCTCTTCCTTCTCTCTGAGGGGGAGCAGTCAGTGAGATGGTGAGGAACAGGCTCCTAAGGCAGCTCCTGAGGACAGCAGTGGCTTGGATGCGGCTTGGTGTGATCTTTTTTGTTCCTTTGGATTCCGTGTGTGGCAGATCTTTAACACATGGGGTCCAGAGGTGCCGCTGGGCCTGGCTTGCTCAGCTGTCTGACCATTGCTATTTGTTGTCCCTGGCTCTGCACACCCCAGCCTCAAAAAGCCCAGTTCTTAAATGTCATATCCTTATAGATAAAGACCTTTAAAAATAGGTGGGATAAACACGTGTTTTAGTTCCCTTAGAATCTTTCTCGACTTTAGCACTGTGCAAGTGTGGATGGCCTCTTTGGGTAGAATGTCTTATCTCTGGTTCAGAGGTTAAATGTTGCAGATAAAAATAATGTGGTATGTTTTGAGCAGTGCTTTCACTTAGTTTCCGTTATGCTTGGGTATCTGGTTTTAAAATTTTTTTTTTTTTCAAAAATGTAGTAAAAGCGGGAGGGGGAAAAAAAGCTCTTCTAATTTAGTTACATTGGCCAAATTTGGGGCAGAACTAGGAGTGTCAAATATGTGAAAAGTTCCCTTGGCTGTTAATTAACTACTCTAAGCATGTTTTACTGAAATGGCATCTTTTGGTTCCAGAGTAAATATTGTTAATGTCACCAGTGCTGAGTTACTGCGTTCCTTTGACCTTCCAAAGGCAGTTTGCCTTGAATTCTCGCCAAAGAACAACGTCCTGGCCACCTGGCAGGCCTATACAAGTGAGTATCTCACCAGCTGTGAAAGTACGCCGGGTCACTGCGTATTTTAATTCGGTTTGCAGGCTTTCCGCCACCCGATCTGCCACTGTGGCGTATTTATTGGCTAAAGGAGCAGTGTAGCGAGCGTACAGAAAATTATAGGGGTAGTCAAGTGTTCAGCGGAGGAGGGAGGGATGCCGTCTTCCGAAAGCGTCCGGTATCGACCGCTCTTAGGAGCACTAAAACCTGCCAGCTGGTCTTGGCGCAAAGCGCGCGTTGGAACGACACGCTGCTCGAGCCGCTCGTGTGGGGAAGGAAGGCTGTGAGCTGTCTGCCAGCAGCGTGTCCTCCACTGGGCACAGCTGACCTGAGTGTTCTCCGTTGTCCAGGGGGCTCTGCTCTCTCCTCTGCCTCCCTGTGGAGTTCAAGTTCCTGATTTAGGCGGCCTCAGTCTCATCCAAGCTGTGAGCCCGAGGCAGGCAGTGTGAAGAGCTGGGCCTAGGCTGGGCGTTGGGAAGGGCTCTGGGAGAGGTGGTGGGCTCACACCAGGCAGCACAAGCGACAGAGCTGCTGCCGGCTGTGGGCTGTTGGGGAGCTGTTGGGAGGTGTGCTCCGAGTCACGGGTACCAGCAGGCAGGCTGTAGTGTCCGGAGCGAGCAGGAGAGCTGAAAGCCGGCAGGACCGTTTTGTGCAGCTTGCAGACAGCGCCGGGGCTGCCACGGGACGGGCGCAGCGCCCTGCGTTCTCGGGAGGGCGGCGTGTGGGAGCGGAGAGCACGCCCTCGCTGCTTGCCGAGAGGGTCGCTCTGGATTCTGGTTCAAAAACATGCCCTAAAAAAGCTGTGCTGGTGTTGGTGGTCCTGGTCTTGTGGTGGGGAGCAGAAACCCCACCCTTGGAAGCAGACTGAGAGACTGCAGAGAGACTTAGTTAATAGGTGAAGCTGTTAGCAGCCCGGGGTTTAGCCCCTCGGGGCGGGATGCTTCTTGTACGAAGTTTAGGCGTGTTTGGTTGCTTGTGGAATCGTGAGGTGGCGCGTGATCATGGTGAAGCAGGTTGGATCCCCAGAGACCACCGCTGTAATCCGTGTTTTTGTTGCAGCTGCTAAAGACGGCACAGCGGGGGTGCCCAACCTACAGCTTCATGAGGTGAAAACTGGAAAATGTTTAAAATCGTTCATCCAGAAAAAGATGCAGAACTGGTAAATACCATTTCCAGATGCTAATTGTTTGCAAAGAAATGTGGTTTCAAAACCTGGTCTGGGTAAATAGAGCTGTTGGTGTGGAGTTGCCTTTCAAAATACTGCCTGGTGCTAGCTGAAAGCAAGTGTCTGTGCTTCGAGTACCTTTGTATGTAGTTGTAATTGTTTCATAGTATAAATTCATGATAATTTTGCACCACAGAGGAAGCGGGGGGCCGACAATAACTAAGCCTAGTTGGGTTTTTTTACTATGCAGATGTCATTTGTTCATTCGAAATATGTATCACGTTTGAACTTGTTTGGCTTTGAAAATGGAGGAATAAAAATCCTAGACTGCTGAGGATGAGCATCATTCAGTGTCCCTAATTTATTCCTCTAACTGTAGGTGTCCTTGCTGGGCAGAGGATGAGAGCATTTGTGCCCGGAATGTAAACAATGAAGTGCACTTCTTTGAAAACAACAACTTCAGTACGCAAGTATTTCTGTACATCTCCCTGCGTTCTACAGAGGCACCTTCTTTTGGGGGGGGCGGTTTCTTCTGAATCTTTTCCTCATTTCTTCTTTTGCTTGCTCTTTATTTTAAATAATGCCTACATTCTGTTTGAGCTTGGAATTCAGAATTGTTTAATGAAGTATGTTTTCACTTTCTTCTTTATCTTTTCAGTGACTTATCTAGTATGAAATGCATCTAATTTTCAGTTAAAGAGGCCTGATTCTGTATTGTTTCTCATTTAATGAGATCCAGGAAACTGTCAATAGAGAATGTGATCTATGATTACTTCTTTGGGTTGTGTGTCTTCTGTCAATGAACTGTTAAAGTGTCTCATTAGGAAATTTATATTGATGGCAGAAATGAAGTTGTGAAGCTAGAGCGGTTTTTTAAAGGAAATTTAATACTAGTAGTAGAATGTTTGGCATCCATAGAGGTTGAAAAGGGAAAGGGGGAGAGAAGAGCAGGAAGATAAAAATCAATTAGAACAAAAACTGAAAGGAATAAAAGGAAACTGCTGGGGGGTGAACAGTGGTGTGTGGTTTTGGTGGGGTTTTGTTTGGGGTGGGTTTTTTTTTTAAATATAAAGCTGATACAAGAATTATTCTGGGAGCTAAAAATGCAGCGTGTGAGAGGTGCAGTTTCCTGAGGGTTAGCCCTGCTGATGTTAACGAAGCCATACTCGGGAAGCTTGGAACGTCTGTTCAGCACGAGGTCTGCTGCCCAGCGGGGCCTCCTTGCTGCAGCGAGGCTGTGGGTTGCTGCTGTTCGTTGGCTCTTTAAATACACCTTCTGTGTAAAGGGGCAACGTTCAGCACAGAACACGCCTTTACAAACGCTTCCTACCGGGAAGGATCATCCGCTGAAGTTGCGAGGGGAGAAGCCCCGGCTCTGTGGGATGGACATGACTGGCGCTGCTTCCTCTGCGATCAGCGCGGAGAAGATGACGAGCGCTGCGCCTTGCTTCAGACGCGAGTGGTGTTCCCCTGCGGTTCAGAGCCTTCCTTGGTGTTTGACCTTCCAAGTACTAAATACCGGATTTCAGACCAGTTGGTTTTGTAAATAAAAATGTGTGACGAAATAGGAAGGTAGCGGTTGTTGGCCTAGTGAAAGAAGTCCTTTGTCATTGTGTGGGCTGTTCTTCATCATCCACAGTGCAGACCCGTGAAATGGGATAGCTAAGTGATCCGGGCTGGCGTCGTTTGTCACTAACGTCATCACGTCTGCGACTTTGTTTTGCAGATACTATTGCAAATAAACTGCATTTGCAAAAGGTTAACGATTTCGTGCTATCTCCAGGAGCACAGCCGACCAAGGTACTTCTGATGTTGTTTGAAACTTTTTTCTTAGTTTTCGTCAAAAGATCCCTGTGATTTTAGTACAAGGTACTAGTAGTGAATAGACACTGTGCTACCGAGAGGATCACTTGCAGTGAGATCTCCTGGCTCTGTTCTAGGTGGCTGTGTACGTCCCGGGCAGCAAAGGAGCGCCGTCGTTCGTTCGGCTCTATCAGTATCCCAACTTCGGTGGCCCTCAGTCTGCACTAGCCAATAAGAGTTTCTTTAAAGCTGACAAGGTGACAATGCTGTGGAACAAAAAAGGTAAAACAGATGTATATTTAAACTTTTACACACCACCCATTTGGGACTTAATGACTTTGTTTGCTGCATGGGTTTTGCGTTTAACCTGCGTGCGCAGGGGAATGCTGAAGGTGGCCATTGGTGCCGGTGCCGTGTCAGCGTCGCAGTTCCGAATACCCCAAAGTGCTCGTAGCTTTCCTGTCTTGACTTCTGTGGTCAGTATATTGTAATCGAGAATATTCTACGTGTTGGTCAGTTTTGCAGTTGAACAGCAAATTCGCGTTTGATTTTGCATTCTGTGACGGTAACGTCTTTAGACTGTAAACGTACGATTATACCAGAGCGTAAGCTGTTCTTAGATAAAATCGTGTGCACACAGGTGTGTCACTTGCACAGTCCCCTGTGTGCTTTGCTGTTGGTTAGCAATGAGCTGCTTCAGCATAATTTTGTAAAAAAGTTTTACTTGAACCCACGTTGGAATACAGGGAAGGCCTTAACATACGTGTAGAAACCATGTGTGGGCACGCAGTTTTGGTTAAAATAGGTGTGCCTACAAAAGCTGCTGATGAAATGCTTTGTTCAAGGACTGATCAGGGCGCTGGGTTTCTGCCTTAGAGGAGGAGTATCTTTATGATGGCTGCAGAAGCATATTCACTTCCTCGTAATTCAGCGGTGAATGAATAGACTTTGCTTGCGCTTGTTGCCTGCGGAAGGCAGATCCCTGTTCTGTTTAGGAAAGATGAAGCGCAGAAGAGAGCAGCGACAGCGCTGTTAGGCGAGCAACTAACGAGAATTCACAATCAAACTGCTTTCTCCTTGTCATGGTAGTGTGTGGGATAGTTTATGTAATTTGCAGTAACTGCACTGAAATAACTGTGTGTCTGTTCTGTCAGCCACTGCTGTGCTCGTGATAGCGAGTACAGAGGTTGATAAAACAGGTGCTTCCTACTACGGAGAGCAAACCCTGCACTACATCGCCACAAACGGGGAAAGCGCCGTCGTCCAACTGCGTAAGTAGCTCTTGGCTTTTTTCCTTGGCGTTATAGCTCTCGGTAGTGGGCTTTGCTGTGTCACCAGCTTCTGTGTAATGTGTGAGGGGGTTTTGTTAGTCTAAGGAAGTAATTAAAAAATTAAGTACTCTTAACAGAAAAAATCCTTCAGCAGATTTTTTTTTTTTAAATCTGGAGTAAGGGGTGTTTGTTTTTTTTTGTTTTTAACAGCTGAGTTGTCTTGCCATCTCTGGTACACTTGTCTTAATGTCAGTGGCAGAGGGCACACGCTTTCAGTGAATATATACAAATAATTTGCTTGGGAGGGTGCTCACGTGCGCAGAAAGGGCGTTGTGTGTGTTTACTGAGGAAACACCTGGGCAACGGAGAGTCTGGAATGGGCAGGAAGGTGTGTAACCACGCAGAATAATCCTGCCTGTGCCTTTAGACATGCAGCTGATCCTGTCACACAAGGAACTGGGGCAGAGTGAGAGCAGTTTTTTGAAGTGTATTGGGAAATAGAAGTCCTTTATTTTGTGTTGTAAAATGGAAAGTGTTCCAAGACATAAAAATTACGTGTTGGGGAGAAGCAAGTGGATGTGCTTAATTTCAGGGTTGTCTGTGCACTGGAAATCCATTCATTACTTTCCCCTTGGTGGTGTTTGTTCGTTATCTTGAGGTGTTGGTGTTTGTGTTAAGCGCGTGTCCTGTTTGGGACTGTCCCGAGGGTAGCTTGTTGTGCTTCAGAACTTTGGGGATGGGGTGACGTAGACTGTCGATGCTTGAGAGACTGTGAATATGTTCTCTTCAATACTGGTGCTGGCTGGGAGAACGTCTCCAGTTTGCTTTTTGCAGCAAAACTTGTGGTATCAAGTACTGTGCCCCATTTTCTTGTGCTGCTGACTTCTCTGGGGAAAAATAATTTGGATTATAACTCGGTGTCTGGAATCTCTCTGGGAGCAGTTTCCTAGATTGAGAACACGAGTTGTTTAATCACATGCTTATCAAAACCTTCTTTGCCTTTTGCAGTTATTTTTTTCTGATGCATCTTTGTTTAACAGGAAGTTTATCGTTAATTTTCATTTAATTTAGCTATTCTTTTTCAAGGAAAAAACCAAACTGGTGTCTGTTTTGTAAAACTCCTTTCCCACAAAAGCAAGCGGCGGGCACTTGGAGTGAGCGGTGCCTCCTCTCCTGTGGGTTTGTGTCTTCTGATCGCTTCTGAGGTCCGGTTTCGAAGCTCTGGTCACACTGGTGTTTGCAGAGGGTTTCGGTTCTGGCTGGCGCGCGCTCACGCTGCCACCTTTGCCGTGGCTGCTGGCGCCCGCAGGAGCCGCCCTCCTCCCTCCGCCGCCCGCTGCCGTGACACGGGCAGACACGTGGCTTTCTGCCGCAGCCCGTCTGCGGTGGTGTCTGGTTAGTGCCTGGACAGCATGGTTGCACGGCCTGGTTTGTGGAGGTGACGAGGCTTTAGAATGCCAGCAGGAGTGAACAACTTGAATCTGCTTGGTGTTTTGGGCCAACACCTGGATTTAGGAATTGGCAGCAAGGCACTTGGTGTTTGTCTGAAATCGAGGTAGAGATATCCAGACCATGAATAGTTGTAACGACCCGTGTGCCCTTTTACATGAGTTTCCATCACTGATTTGTCATTCTTCAATATCTCCTAATGTTCTAACTCCCAGAATGGATTCTAACTTTATTGAGTTTTAATCATTATGTGTAAAACCATTTTTTGTGCGTTCTCTCACTTTAAAATCTGCCTTGTAAAATACCATGCGTGAGCACGGTCCAAAGATCACTTAGGTCAGTATTTCTCAGCTCTGCAAAGCTGAGCTGTGCACTATGTCGTAGATTTAAGAAAGAGGGTCTAGTACCCAGCTAGTACAAAACTCCTGGGTTTGCAGGTTTCCAGTGGGACAGTTTCAGAAGGTCCTGAGAGATCATACTTGAATAACGAGGCGGGGAATAAAAGAGGGATTTTTTTTACATGAAAAAAGTATGCTTGCTGTTACCGTGCTGACGCTGACCCCGCAGAGGTAATTTGGAATGGCTGCAGTTATTGTTGCAAACCCTAACTAAAACTATCAGAAGATAACACGTTGTTCCTGCCTCTGTTGTTAGCAGAACTCATTTTCAGTGTCAGTAATTAGGTCACAGCATTTTAGCAAAGCGTGACGTTAAGAACTGCCATTGATTTTGGCTTTGCTTGCACTGGAAAGACACACGCTCCTACCGACAGCTGCCTGTTTTCCTCTTCCTTTTAGCAAAAAACGGCCCTATTTACGATGTTGTTTGGAGCCCAAATTCTGTTGAGTTCTGTGCTGTGTATGGGTTTATGCCTGCCAAAGCGACAGTTTTTAATCTGAAGTGTGACCCTGTGTTTGATTTTGGAACCGGTCCTCGCAATGCTGCCTACTACAGCCCCCACGGACACATCCTGGTGCTCGCAGGATTTGGAAACCTCAGGGGACAGATGGAAGTGTGGGACGTTAAGAACTACAGACTCGTTTCCAAACCAGTAGCCTCGGATGCCACGTACTTCGCTTGGTGTCCTGACGGGGAGCACATTGTCACGGCTACGTGTGCTCCCAGGCTGCGCGTCAGCAACGGGTACAAGGTATGGCACTACACCGGCTCCCTGCTGCACAGCTACGAAGTGCCGTCGAACGAGGAGATGTGGCAGGTTTCCTGGCAGCCCTTCTTGGACGGAGTGTTCCCGGCGAAAGCAGTGAAGTACCAGGCCGTGCCCAGCGAATTGCCCAGCGCCGAGCCGAAGCCTGCCCAGGCGTACAGGCCCCCAGCCCTGCGAAACAAACCTGTGACGAGTTCCAAGCTTGTAAGTGGCCAGTGGCACAGAACCACCGAATGGTTTCGTAGATGACCTAAAGCGTGCTGTTCCGTGGCTTTGCCCGTCTGTATTTAGTGAGAGACGTTGGAAGAGTCATCAGACTGGTGACAGTGGTGCGGTGGGTGTGGTGAGAGGTTTTCTCGGTAATCCTCTTCGACACTTGGCTCGCCGCTTGCAGGGGTGTGTGCTGGAAGGCAAACCTCTTTGGTCCCAGCACTCCCCTTGCACAAAGTCATTTGCAAACTTCAAAAACGCTCTGCACGGCGTGCGCTGGAGCAGTGACCCGTAAATTTGGTTTGCGGTGAGATTGGATACGCAAGGTAGAAGCCCCTGATGTGAGTGACCCGCCTCGCCAGTCTAGACCCAGCTAGGCAGGTGCTTGGCTGTCCTCCCAGCAGCTTTGTTGGGTTGCTTTTTAGGTGAGTTTGCTCGCTAGGAGGAGATTTGATTTGTTACCAAGTCAGCTGTAGTTGAACAGGTTTCAGTAGAGCGACCTACTTGTCTAAGGAATTTCTTCTCTGCAAGTTTTCAAAGTGGGCTGAGCAGCGACTAATTGCATTTAACAATTGTGCCCTTGATGTTGAAGTCTTAGCTTTGATTTTGGGCCTTGTGCTTCTGAAGGAAAGGCTGCTGCTCGGCTGGTGAGGAATCTGTTAATCGTGCTAACGGCTGATTTTGCAAATGACCAACAAGCAGAGGTAGTAGAGAAAAGATCTGTTAAGTAAAATAATTCCTATATATATGGGCAAGAAATCTTGTCATATGCATTAAAACAATCTAGCTCCCCAATTAAGAGTTACCTTAAAAGACCAAAAGACGAAAGAACCCCTCCTTTTCACCCCCACCCCCTCCCAGCAACCCTTTTTTCCTTTCCTGTCACTAGGAGTTTCAGTTAAAAAGCTGTCAACAAAAGCAAAATGCCGAGCTTCAGTCATTTTGTGCCGGTTTGTTCCTCTTTGATTTTATTTCCCCCCTGAGATGGAGAACATGATGATTTTGTTATTTTATCAGAAATCCATGACATCTTTAGGACATACAGGATAGTCACATCCAAACTTGGGCATGGATGAGTTGGAAACTCATTCCACGCTGTCTTCTGCTCCTCGAAAGGGAAAGGGCACATGCACATACTTCTTTTTTTTTTTTTTTTTTTTCCCTCCTTTCTTTGTTTTTCCTTCCTCTTTCTTTATGGTTCACCTTTGCACATGCTGGTCTTGCCGTAAGGAGGTTTGGGGGCTCACTGTTGGGTGTTTGGTACCAACGCACTTGCCAACGTGGAACGCGAGTTTCATAACTGTTCGTTTTGCGTGTCCTGCAGCATGAGGATGAGCCACCTCAGAATATGAAACCCCAGTCGGGAAGCGGTGATAAGCCACTCTCTAAAACAGCTCTCAAAAACCAAAGGAAACACGAAGCAAAGAAAGCTGCTAAACAGGTACTGCGGGAGCGCTTCGTTCGGGGATCAGTTAATTACTTTTCACCAGCAGCACTGACCAGTCTCAGAGCAGCGACCGTTGGGTGCGCTGAGAGCCCTCCACACGTCTTGCACGTGAATCTCAGCTGAAATCGGTGTTAGGACTAAGAAATTCCGACTTTTCACCTTCAGGCAATGCGCACAGTTGTTCAGCGTTGGGTGAGGGGTGAGAACGGACGTGGCGCTTCGGTGCGTGTCCCCAGCTGGTCGGGGCTGAGGCATGTTCCCAGGGCAGACCAAAGACAGCCCGCTCCGTGTCGCCTCTCTGCTTGCGGCTCTTGGGCTCGGTAGATAAAGATCAGCTTTTGATGTTAGCTTTTCAGATTTCTGAAGCAATCATTTCTTAAAATAAGATTTTTTTGTTTTAATTTCTTACACTGGTTTTGGGGCCTTTTTTTTACTTCAGAGAGAATGACCCACCTCCACTTTGTAAAATATTTGTGCCTGTTTGTCATGTCATACTCACTGAGGTTTCCCTGTGCTATGTATGGTTGGTGTCTTGAGGAGGTAGAAATTCAACAAAAAACAGCATGTGAGTGGTTGTAGATAACCCCTTTTTTTGTGGAAAGCCCATATATAGGTAATGCAGTACATCAAAGCAAGCCACTTACGAGTTTTGGAGTATACCAGCCAACTAGTGAACGCAGACACATTAAATGGGTCCCTGAAAATGACTAAAGACATTCCTTAGTCCCTTTGTAATCACAGGTATTTTCTAGATAACGTGTTTATTTTATTTGTCTCCAGGAGGCCAAAGCTGATGTGAACCAGGAATCTACACAGTCCTCGGCGCCACAGAACGCACCACGGAGTGCTGTGCCTGCCGTCACGTCGGGAGACCCCGAAGTTGACAAGAAGATAAAGAATTTAAAAAAGGTGAGGGGATTCTTTATTTCATTTTTTTTTTTTAAAAGCAGATTTCTCTAAGAGATGGTCTGTACGATCCAGTCTGATTGTAAGGTGACTTGAGCCCGGGAGGACAGCATTTACACGGACGGCACCTTCCTGAGTTTGTGACCCAACTTTGCTTTTCCATCTTGTGAGACAGTCGAGGTCGTTGCTTGCCAGGACGCTGGAAGCTCTGACCAGAGCGGCGTCGGGCAGCACGGCGGCCACTGAAGGCGCACAGAGAGCGTTCCGGTCTCCTGCTGGGGGTGGTGGTGCTTGTGCGCCCGCCGCTGGGGGGGGGGGGTACAGCTGAAAGGTGCTCGTGGGCTGCTTGTTCACTGGGCCTTGGAGCTGAGAAGGGAAGCGCGCTGTGCGGGTTTGGGTTCTTCTCTGGCTTCTGCGTGGTAGGAGTGCAAAGTGTGCTGCCGATCTGGGAAATCCTTGGATTAAATAATTTCGGAATGGAAGTTGTTTGGTTCAGGGTAGAGAATCTTTCCCGTTTCTGCGTAACCCATCAGGGCTTTTTTCTCTTGGCTGCCTCCTGCTTCCCGTGGTCTCCGTTGGGGTTAATGCTCCCGGCTTTCTGGGAAGAGGGTGGTGAAGGGGGACAGCGGTAGTGGAGGAGCCATTTCCAAATTTGGACCTGGCCCCTCAGTGAGATAAGGCATGGTGTTTGTGTTTCAGAGACTAAGAAGTGCTTCTGTTCTCTAGGTTTTGTTCTTGACAGAAATGTATTTTCTTGGTGGGAAATTCTGGACTGAGCAGCTGGAGATGCTTAAATGAAAAGTGCTCTCCACATGGAGACCTGCCTCCTCGCAAATCGGGCACTGGTGGCTGCAGGAACTTCTAAGACTGTTTTTTATCTTCTTGGTTCACCAGTATTTTTGTGTTAGTGTGGTTTTTTTGTTTGTTTTCACAGAAACTAAAGGCAATTGAGCAGCTGAAGGAACAAGCAGCTGCTGGCAAACAGCTAGAGAAAAATCAGGTACTGTTAAGATGTGTGCAGTTTATTCAAGTTTTGTTTTATAATAAGGTACATCTGTGACCTCTTGTGCTTTTTTGTTCTAGTTGGAGAAGATTCAGAAAGAAACTGCTCTCCTTCAGGAACTGGAGGACCTAGAACTGGGTCTGTAAAACTTCACGGAAATCCAACACGGCGTTAACACAAAGCTAATGAAAAATGTAGTTCGTATTAATTTGAATGCAGTAAAACGTTCCAGCACATGCCCGAGGATGCAGAAGCCTGCAATTCGCTGCCCCCCTGCCTTGGAAAAGCTTCCCTGAAGGGTTTGTGCCCACGAACAGCTGTAAACGAGTCCGCCGGTCAGCCCAGGGACGCGCTCGCGTTGCCTCAAGACCGGGAGGGGCCTCTCGGTTTCTCCTCTGGTGTGGGGGGAGGAGGGGGGCGATGAGCTGTACCCCGGGAGGGCCTGGCTGTGTTCAAAGAGGCGCGTGATCCCCCTGCAAGGGCGGCGTGCGGGTAAAAGCAAAGAGCATTCAATAACGAAAGTGTTTCTGTTCTTCTGTGACGCGGGCGGAGTCGC